CTACATTATGACCTGTTTCTTCTCAAAGTTTAAATTTTCATAAAAAATAAGATATTTGTTTTAGCAAACACACTTCCACTAGAGATACAAGACAATTTCTACCTCACCATTCTATAACATAAATCTTATGATAATGTATATATAAACTATCTGCACTCATTTAGATGCCCTAATCACCTTTAAAAAATATACATATATATACACGAACAGCTAAAAGCTATTCATCTAGAAAACTGAAATGAGTGCACCCACAATTACCAAGAACAGTGCCCACAGTGGGGGCGTGTCTCCTACACTGTCCTTGATAGCATATTTGTTTGGTTAGCTGTCTAAGCCTTTGTCCTTGCTGCATGCGTGTGTGTGTGGAGGAGTCAGAAAGCAACAAAAAATATAAATCTACTAGCTCCTTTATTTTTCTTTTTTTTTTTTTTAATAATAATAATAAAAAAGTGAAAAATTAAAGCACTATGACAATTTCTCTAAACTTTCACTATGACTATGTTCCTTGTGTGAGTCTCAGTTTATCATCATTTCAACAGCAAATTACTTACACATTCCTGCTAAACAAAATTATTGAACTCTTTATTGTTTTTTCTTAACCTACAATCAACTCAATAATTGAATCATACTAATAATATTATTCTCCCAAAGTATTCTTTTGATTTTTTAAATAATCATCTAAAGGGCACAGGATAAAAAAGCAATACGAATTCTCAACAAGGAAGAGCTAGGCTATATTACTTTTAGTTTAAAATTATCAACGGATGAATATTATGGAAAGGAAACATTTTTAATAGTAAGGATTGCTAATAATAACCAATTATTATGCTAGTTTACCTAGCATACTGTGATGAAAGTTATCTTCTAAAAGGCCATTTTCTCTTTCCTGTTCTACATTTAAAAATAACAATAAAACATCAATCATTACTATTCATATCTCCTTGCAGTTTGTTATTTAGAAACCATAAAGCCTATACAGTTACAAAACAGAAATTGCACTTATAACATGAGCCTTCTAAAAATTTACTTTACAGAGTACACCAGCATAATAAGAAAAAAGCCATGTTACACTCATTCTCTCACTCTC